AAGTCATCATCAGAAGTCCACTGAAGTAGTAAAGGTGAGTGATCAGATGAAGTCCTGTTCAAGTGCTTCACTGTAAGCTGTCGACAAAATGCTGCAGCTGAAGAATTAATGAGTACTCTATCCAATCTCTTCCTGACCCGCCCATTGGTCCAAGTGTATCGATTCCCAAGGAAACCTGCATCCTCTAGACCACTGTCCAACATCATATCAGAAAAAGCCGTAGTGCCTCGATCACGAGTATTATGACCCGTGCGCTCTCCATCATGAGTAATAACGTTAAAGTCTCCCCCAACTATCCAAGGGTCCTCCATATCGAGGGAGATGTGGTGAAGACCCGCCCACAAATCCCTCCTGACAGAAGCATCACAAGAAGCGTAAACTGGAGTAAAATAGATGGGAAGAGCTAGTCTGGGGTCCTCAACTTTAACGTGAAGAAACTGGGGATGATCAACAATAATAGTAACATTAGTCCCCGAGTTCCAGAAAAACCAAATCTTATTCGATTCATTCTGAGCTCCCGTATCGAAGCGCAGGTAACGTCGAATATATGCAAAGCTGTGTTGTAGAACAAAGGGCTCCAGTAAAACTAACAGATAAACCTGATGAAGCTGTATAAGTTTCTTCAGGCGCCGACGAGTAGCTACACTAGCTACACCTCTCACATTCCAAATGATGGCACTCATAGGGATGGAGAATGTGAAGAGGTATCATGTGACTGACTCCTGGTGATCCGTCTGCTCGGATGTGGAGTATCAGTAGCACGTGGGTGTTTCTTTCTTGTGACTCGGACAAAACCGTCATCCTCTGATCTACCAGCCATACCCACTAAATCCTCAGCAGAAGACCTACGGAACACACCCTGCTGATGGACCTCAATCTGTGATGTAGCTTCAGTATCCGACTGATCAGATTCTACTGAAGGAATAGAAGCTTCAATGTTCTGTTGACAAAAAGTGGAGAGCTGGAGGCAGGATTACCAGTACGGCCAGGTGTAGGACCGGGAAGCTGTCTGATAACTCTATCTGTAGCCTCTGAATCATGTGTTCGCCGAGACATGTCGTGAGCCAAGGGGTCAGTGTAATCACTGTCAACATGAATAACAGGCTGTGATGGAGCTAAGGTTGGTGTAATGGCACTCGAAGGAGCAATAGTGTCTGGAGCTACTGACTGCACTCTTGGAGGATTAACTGAAGCAGTGTCTACTATGGATGCAATTGACTGGGTTACAATAGGTTGATCTGCTTGGGAAACATGTGCACCTGATGTGCTAGCTTGTTGTTTCTTCTGCTCTCTGCGAACTGGGGTCCACCTCTGACGTGGCTCACCCTGAATTTCCTTTCCCTTGTCCTTATCCTTAGCAGGGATAACAGGTTTAGGGATAGGCTCAACAACAGGAGGTTGTGCTGGTCTTATGCCAAGTTTACACTGAACTTCTAAGTGCCCAAAATGTCTGCATTTGTAACAAAATTCTGGCTTCTGGCCATATATAACTTGTTACCAATAGCCACCGATCTTTTCCCTCTCAATCCAAACTCTGTCAGGGAGATCGTAGTCCAAATTAACCTCCACACATACTCTAGCCTCACTAGGGCGACGAAGATCAGATGTTGCCTCATCAATACGCAACGGAAGGCCAATAGCTTTAGCAATAGCATACAAACTGCTCTTAGCCCGAAAGTGAATAGGTAGAAGTGGAAAGGATACCGAGACTGGTGCAATTGGGGTCTCCTGCAGTGGACTAAAGCTTGGAGTCCATTTGAAGACTCTCATAGGGGAACCATCAATATACCACAGTGGTTTGAGGAATAACCGTGCATAGTCATCCTCGTGCGCCAAGTGAATCAAAATGTGTGTGGCATCAATTAGACCAATAGTAAAATCACCACAAAAACCAAAGCGAGAAAAGTTTTCATGTACCTTAAGCATAGCTGGCCTCCGGTGCACAAATTTGCCAACAAGAGTAAACTTGTATGGCTCAGCCAAGACATCTTCATCTGCCTCTGTGAATAGAACTGCAGGTTCACCATGATGGATGAAAGGGTCCCTAGAAATGAGCTTGTGGTCAGTAGATTCTTGTGATGCTCGAAGAATTTGAGCAAAGGACTTCTTTTGACTCCTCTCTGCTTGAGAAACTACTGGCACATTACCAACTGATGTAGCATAAGATTTTGGACCAGAATGAGCAGTTGTGGAAGTTGCAGTGGCTCGTGGTGTTGCACGTGGTGGTGGGGGTTGTACGTGCAGGGGGGACTCGCACGTTGATGGTACGCGCAGTTTGGGATGTACTAGGCGGTAAAGTGTTGATCCTTGGGGTTTTTCCATGATTTGGAGCCAGTGGTGCAGTTCCTGGGATCAAAGGAGGTCCAAAAACATTAGAAGGATTTGCCTCGGTATGTGTGCCACTTGGCACGTTTCCCAATGCAGATTTCCCGTCAGTTTCAGCTGGAGCAATGGTCTCTCCAAAGGTTTTCATATGCTCTGGAGATGATGGCAGTGTCAAAAATATAGAATTCTGGCCAGAAACAGCAGTACCAACTGCCTCGATTTGTGTGCATTTTGGCACGAAATCCAATGTAATATTTTCGATCGAATTGATAGGCCCTTCTGATGTTTTTGGACCTGCTGAGTTCATCGGAGGTGTCAATTTTCTCAAATAATGCTCAGACATGGAAGAAATCTGTCCAGCAGCGCTAGAGGTGTGAAGAACACCATTTGATTCCAAAATTCGGCAAATTAATGATGTAATCTCAGCAATTGGAACATTACCCAGAGTATTTGGGGCTTGAATTTCATTTACCCCACGTTTAATTGCAGAATCGAACACATTTGTGGGGTCAATTAAGAGAGAATCGGACTTTTGACCTTGAGGGATTGGATCCGTTCGATTCGCGAGATTGGGATGAAATTGATGAAGACCCATATGATATGGATGTTGCCCATGATGAGAGGAGTCGGTATGGGGTGGTCTGCCACTGTGGGTCCCGCTGGTGGCGCCGGAAAAATGAAAGGGAGGCAGCGATTGGGCAGGCAGCGCAGGCAGACCTTCCAGGTGCAATTCCGGTCGATTGGGAGCTCCAAATGGTGAGTGGCGACCATGGTTGTGATCGTCTGGAGAAGGGCTACCGACCGGCAGTGATCCGCGACCGTGGGTCCCACCGGAGGCGCCGAAAAATTGAAAATCGACAGGCAGCGCAGGCAGGACTTTCAGATGCAATTCCGATCGATTGGAGGCTCCATATGGTGAACGGCGACCATGGTTGTGATCGTCTGGAAGAGGGCTATCGACCGACAGTGGTGCGCCGGTGTGGGTATCACCGGAACAGTGTTTTCCGGCAGAAATAGCTTGCGGCAGATCTGGTTTTTGGCCCCTATTTTCATCAGATTCCGGCCAGTTTATTGCTGGCGGTTGGGTGTAGGTTATAGAGGGAAGTGAGGGGGATCTATTGGTGGTCGGATCCGGTGGCCTTGGCGGCCGAAATGTAGCCGGATGTGATTCCATTTTGGGTGGCTAGAAATCTCCAAAAATCTCCTATCTCTAGAGAGAAAATGGAAGGGTTGGTTGGTTTGGTTTTGGGTTAGGGGTTTAGGGTTAGGGGTTTAGGGTTTAGGGTTTAGGGTTTGGGGTTAGGGTTTAGGGTTTTTTTTTTTTTTTTTAAATAATAATTGCATTTCAGTGAAAGGTCAAGTGCAAGTTTGACAAGGAAATTCATGAAACAAAAAATGAGTTAAAGTTACATTGATAATAATTGTTCGACCAAAAGTTTCCATTACAATAGTTCCAATCCTTTGTGACTCAGTGAACATCTCTTTCCAACATGTATTTTCCTTTGCCAGGACTTTTCTTTTCCTTAGGAAAAGTAATAATACAAGAAATTAGCTAATTAACTAGGATAAACATCTTGACGAATTTTAGTTTAAGATATAAATCCCATAATATAATACACTTTTAGTAGACAACTAGGATCAACTATGTAAAAATTAGATGTAGCAACCCTCTTAGTATCTCACTTCAAATATTGTTCATGTCCAGAGGGGTTCCAAACCCAAAAAGCTTTCATCCAAAAAGAATCGTGAATCCTCGTCTTGCTGGTATTGAGGGGAGTTTTCTTGATTCTGTAACATTTTTTGGTAGATGGATTCCACCAAATTGGCATTTTGATATTGGATGTTTAAAATTTCAGCCTGTGATTTTGCCAGTTCTGCTTGCAGCTCACTGATTTGCTTCTGAAGTTGGCAGATTGCGCCAGCACAACCGTAAACTGGATCCCTAAACCTGGCATTGGCATCGTAAACCATACTATCCACAGCATCTGATCTTTGAGCTTCAGGAAGTTCCTGCAACAACTTGATTATGTTGCTGGCGCCGAAAACTCTGTGAGCAATGGTGAATTTGAGTGGCTCCGACGGCGGAAAATAAGGTGCCAATACACATTTATCGACACATCTCCGGCGGAGGATTTTGCATGCAGCACAAGGACTAAATGAAACAGGTCGTGGCGGAAAAGATGAAAAAGATCCAGTCGGGGATGATATAGGAGAGAATGAGGAGGGAGAAGTTGCTACTGCCACTGCAGCGGCAGTGGCGCCGGTGGTGGTGATGCTGGGATTTTCCCTGCATTCCATGTTGATACGCGCTGTGTTCGTGTTTTCGTCTGGTTGTACTCTGGGTTAGGGTTTAGGGTTTAGGGTTTAGGGTTTTAGGGTTTAGGGTTAGGGGTTTAAGGTTTAGGGTTTTTTTTTTTTAATTTGAATCGTGATTATATAATCTTCCTGAATGAAAATAAAGTTCAAAAAATGATTTTCTTTTTCTTCCATGAACGAAATTAAGACAATTTCTCGTTTAACATTTGTAACTCTGGCAATTAATGTGTTGAGGCCTCTCTCCCAGGCTACTGGACAAATCTGAAGACATATTCCACATGCAGTCAATTGCCAACAAATGGTCCAAACTTTACCTGAGAAGTGTAAACTTGTATGGTTCAGCCAATACTTCTTCATCTGCCTCTGTGAATAGGACTGCAGGTTCACCATGATGGATGAAAGGGTCCCTAGAAATGAGCTTGTGGTCAGTGGATTCTTGTGATGCTCGAAGGATTTGAGCAAAGGACTTCTTTTGACTCCTCTCTGCTTGAGAAACTACTGGCACATTACCAACTGCTGCAGCATAAGATTTTGGACCAGAATGAGCAGTTGTGGAAGTTGCAGTGGCTCGTGGTGTTGCACGTGGTGGTGGGGGTTGCTTGCGTGCAGGAGGGACCCGCGCGTTGATGGTACGCGCAGTTTGAGATGTACTAGGTGGAAATGTTTTGATCCTTGGAGTTTTTCCATGATTTGGAGCCAGTGGTGCAGTTCCTGGGATCAAAGGAGGTCCAAAAACATTAGAAGGATTTGCCTCGATATGTGTGCCACTTGGCACGTTTCCCAATGCAGATTTCCCGTCATTTTCGGCCGGAGCAATGGTCTCTCCAAAGGTTTTCATATGCTCTGAAGATGATGCCAGTGTCAAAAATGCAGAATTCTGCCCAGAAACAATAGTACCAACTGCCTCGATTTGCGTGCATTTTGGCACGAAGTCCAATGTAATATTTTCGATCGAAATGATAGTCCCTTCTGATGTTTTTGGACCTGCTGAGTTCATTGGAGGTGTCAATTTTCTCAAATAATGCTCAGAAATGGAAGAAATCTGACCAGCAGCACTAGAGGTGTGAAGAACACCGTTTGATTCCAAGATTCGGCAAATTAATGATGTAATCTCAGCAATTGGAACATTACCCAGAGTATTTGGGGCTTGAATTTCATTTAACCCACGTTTAATTGCAGAATCGAACACATATGTGGGGTCAATTAAGAGAGAATCGGACTTTTGACCTTGAGGGATTGAATCCGTTCGATTTGCGAGATTGGGGTAAAATTGGTGAAGACCCATATGATATGGATGTTGCCCATGATGAGAGGAGTCAAAATTGGGTGGTCCGCCACTGTGGGTCCCACTGGTGGCGCCGAAAAATTGAAAGGGAGGCAGCGATTCGGCAGGCAGCGCAGGCGGGACTTCCAGATGCAGTTCCGGTCGATTGGGGGCTCCAAATGGTGAGTGGGGACCATGGTTGTGATCGTCTGGAGGAGGGCTACCGACCGGCGGTGGTCCGCGACCGTGGGTCCCACCGGAGGCGCCGAAAAATTGAAATTCGACAGGCTACGCAGGCGAAACTTTCTGAAGCAATTTCGACCGATTGGGAGATCCAAATGGTGAACGGCGACCATGGTTGTGATCGTCTGGAAGAGAGCTATCGACCGGCAGTGGTGCGCCGGCATGGGTATCACCGGAAAAGTGATTTCCGGCAGAAAAAGTTTGAGGCAGATTCGGTTTTTGGGCTCGATTTTCATCAGATTCCGGCGAGTTTATTGCCGGCGGTTGGGTGTAGGTTATAGAGGGAAGTGAGGTGGTTCTATTGGTGGTCGGATCTGGTGGCCATGGTGGCCGGAATGCAGCCGGATGGGGTTCCATTTTGGGTGACTAGAAATCTCCAAAAATCACCTATCTCTAGAGAGAAAATGTAAGGGTTGGGAATGGTTTAGGGTTTAGGGTTTAGGGTTTTGGGTTTAGGGTTTTAGGGTTTTTTTTTTTTTTTTTTAATAAAGACATCCACACATCCTTAATGACTTTTTAGGGTCCACCAAGGAAGGTCGATGGGGGTTAAGGGTTCCCCAACCATGTTTATTTCATAGAAATCAAAAGTACAGGGAAGGAGGGGGGCATAAACCTGACCTCCAAAAAGCAACAGTGCAACAAATGAAATATTAAAAACGAATAAAGTAAATGAGGAAGTACTACTTCCTTGTACAAGAAAAATGAAATAATGATTGCCTAAACTACAAACCTCTAAAGCTGGGCAATCCATATCTGTCGATTTGTACCAATGCCCTAATCTGTCGAGGCAGGTCAAGTGGTCCATATTCTTGGTAGCGCTGGTGATCCCAGCCTTCTGAAGCAAGAGAATCTGCAACCTGGTTACCCTCTCTGTAGATGTGAGAAACTGTGTCTCTATCGAAGCAAATGAAGTCTCTGATCTGTCTGAGAATACCCTGGATCGACCATGGTCCTCCACCTTTGGTGATGCAGTGAATAGCCAATGTTGAATCTGCCTCAAGCCAGATAGCTGAAATCCCAAGTCCTCTGGCCAATAGAAGCCCATCTAGTATGGCTCTGAGCTCAGCTTCCAAAATGAAACATGGGCCATAGGATGCTGAGAATGCCCTGATACAGTATCCTGCGTAGTCCCTAATGATGCCTCCACCACTTGCAAATCCATCTTTAACGCATCCATCAGTGTTGATCTTGAAGGATCCCACTGGTGGAGTGCGCCAAACAACCATAATAGGTGGTGGTGGGAGAGGACGGGTCAAAGAAATTCCAAAAAAGGGTGCAAGTGTCACATCTCCTCGCCAATGCTCAACTCGGAATAGTCCTCCCATATGAAGAAAGGAGATCATGCGGTAGACCCTCCAAATAATACGTCTGGCCACCATACGAATACCTCTATGCTTCGCATCATTCCTCTCAGTCCATAGAAAACAAAATATCAGTAGAGGAATGATAATACGAATGTGTCCACGGTAAATGTGCTGTCCAAATTACCGCCATCTCTGGAACCTCTGTCTGACCCCCTCCCCTGAAGTCATAGGTATCTGAAAGATGTCTCCAAAGTGCTGCCATACCTGGTCGGAGATGCTGCTGCTCGTGAAAATATGATTGATGGTCTCAATCTCGGAACAACACTGACAACGAGAAGCCAACTGACATCCAATTCTCCTCTGAATAACAACATCTACTGGAATGAGATCCTGCCACAGTCTCCAGCAGAAGAATGAAATAGTGGCAGGCAAAATAGAGCACCACAGTAGTCGATATGAGTCCTGAGGCTGGTGAACCGAACGGACTAGTTGCCATGCTGATTTGGTGGTAAAGTCACCATCCGAAGTAATTTTCCAAACAATTCGGTCCGTGGCATCTGCACATAAAGGTATCGCCCCTACCTGTTCGGCCATGTGAGAAGGAAGGGCCTGTAATAACCGTCCAAAATCCCACCCAGTGTCGTCAAAAAAATCCTGTACCCTCGCAGATGTGTGCTGTGTGTGGGGGAATAGGGATGCCAACGTGGTCTCGCCCATCCAACAATCATGCCAGAAGAAAATCTGACCGGCTCCAAGGTGCCAAGCAATGTGTGGATCCGTCCGTGGCCCAACTGATTTCAGCCTCTTCCAGGTAGGGGAAGCTGAACTGGGAACTGCTGCAAGTAAAGGGTGCGTCCCCTTACAATACTTGCCCAATAAAAACTGAGCCCAAAGTGACCTCTGAGATCGGAACAACCACCAGAGCTTCATGGAGAAGGTGTCCACCACATCCTGCAATCTCCTAAAGCCGAGGCCTCCCTCATCAGTAGGAAGGCAAATCGCCTTCCAACTCCTCCAATGTAGACATCGTGCTTGATCCTTAGAATCCCATAGAAATCGGGCAAAGATGCTCTCAAGTTTCTTCAGCACTGCCTTGGGCGGCTGCATAATCTGAAGAAGATGTAAAGGTATGGAAGAAAGTACTGACCTCAGTAATGTAATACGACCCCCAGGCGATAGTAATCGTGAGGCCCAGCCTGATATCCTATCCCTTATCTTTTGGATAAGGTCATCATAAAGGAAGCTCCTCTTAGTCCCCTTGAATAAGGGGACACCCAAATAAGTGAAAGGCTGCTGCTGATGTCTGAAGCCAGTCAAAATCTCTAGTCGTCTGATCTGACTAGTGGATGCCCGTCTGGATAGTATAATACCGCTCTTGTCTCTATTCACCAATTGGCCAGAAACTCCTTCATAATGCTCCAAACAGTCTAAGACCCTCCTGATAGACTGTTTCTGACCGTTGGCAAAGATGATCATATCGTCAGCAAATGAGAGATGTGAGACAAGAGCACTACCTCCATGTCGATAACACATACTGGGATACTCTTGAAACCTCTGAGTGAGCAAACGTGAGAAGTAGTCTGCTGCAATGATGAACAAGGATGGGGAGATAGGATCACCCTGTCTGAGTCCTCGTGAGGAGGGAAAAAAGCACATGGGCGGCCATTTAGGAGTACGGAGAAACGACACTCCGAAACGCACCGCCTGATTCTGTCAATCCAGATCTGATCAAATCCAAATGCCTCCAATACAGAATAAATGAAGCCCCAGTCCATGCGATCATATGCTTTAGCCATGTCTA